TTTTTTTTTTTTTTTTTTTTTTTTTTTTTTTTTTTTTTTTTTTTTTTTTTTTTTTTTTTTTTTTTTTTTAATAATGATTATAATAATAAAAGGAAAATTTTAAAGCATAATGGGACACGGGGACTGCTCGACAGGGTTACATACCAATTGCAGCTAGACGTTCCTTTTTCTTCATCAACTTTTCCTCCTTGGTCAATGGTTTCTTAAAGCCAAGTTCTGCGGTTGCCATCTCTCTCTCCCTTCTCTGTGCAGCCAAACGTTCTTCAAAACTGAGAGTTTGAGTTCAAAAGTCCATGGTCAGAAAATTTGTGCAGAATGGATTTACAAGATGATTTTAATTTGACCACAGTTGCTTGCTTAGTTCAAACAAGTAGCGATTAAACATGCTGTTGTTTTAAAAGGAATATTCTAATTTATTAATACAAATCTACACATACTGCCCATGATAACCAAAATAAATCAAGCATTAAGGTTGAGCCCAACAAAAGTTACAACACTACAGTACACATCTAACTGTGAGCTCGATCATCATAAGTGGTGTCATTGAACTCTCAGATTGATTCCTAATTTGGCCTGTACTCCTAAGAGGTAAAATAACATCGCATGACTAATGAGTTTGTTATAATATTAAAATGAAAATCCATGTACACCGCATTTTCATTTTTATGAGACTCATAAACAGCATTTTCAACGAGAAGAAAAGGCCCTCGGAAGGGGTTCCTGAATCTCTCTCTTTTTGGCTCTCAGTTGGTGAATAAATGTTTCTCCTTATCACAATTATAGTATGAACTCACTTTTAACCGATTGGAGGTTTTTCAAGCCTCCCCTCAGTTTGGAGATTTTCTTATTGATGTTCCACATCTAAAAAGTACCAAAGAAAAATCCTTTTCAAATCTAACAATTATCAAAAAGAAAAAGAAAAACAAGAAGAAGAAGAAGAAAGACAGGAAGAAGAAAGAATGAAGGAAATGAATATTGATCAGTGGGATATTTTTTAAGTTCATTCAAGTTTCTCCTTCAATAAACCTGTTGAGGAAGAATTGAGCTGTTCGTCTAACAGCGGTCATGTCTCCAGTAGGCACAAGAACTCCCATTTGAATCATTGCTTGAAGAACCTGCACTAAAGAACAATTCTTGTAAACAATTGAACATTATAATGCATGTTATGGGTAAAAACATATTTACGCTTATATGCAACAACAAGGCATAAATAAAGGTACTGGTATATCACCTTAAGGTGGCAGAAACAGAAATACACTTCACATGGTCAAATGAAAGGCAATGGTGCATTTTAAGAAACCAGTACCTTGTCCGGATCTTTCTCATACACTCCATAGAACGTTTCTAGCAAACCCTCTCTGATATTTGAACTGATACTGCAAGGCACCAATACAGCAATATGTTAGCAAAATATCCTGGCCATTTAAGATTGATTTTCTTTCTTTGTTTGTTTTTATTGGATGGGGGTGTAATTTCATAGTTGGACGCAAGCAAGCACATTCAAGTACCTTCCCATCATTCCAAAATCATAAAAGATCAACCTTCCTCCATTGACATCATCGACAGCAATATTTCCAGGATGCTGAAAAAAAGGTACATTTCAAGTTCAAAAACCTCTGTTGAAAAATTTAAAAACAAAGAAAAAGGCAAGGAGTACAGCTGATTGCAATAACCTACATTCAGTATCATCTAGAAGATGGATGCAAGCACGGCAGACATCTTGGAAGTTTGACCATATAAATATTTTATCTTCAAGTTCAAACTTATCTTTTCAGAGAAGATACATTGAAAACTTGAGAAATTCATCGTATTAAAAATATTGCTGCGAGAAGTTTTTTCCATTTTCTTTTTCTAATTGAAAAATTGTTCAGTTGATATGACTGGTATTATCCATTCCCCTGTCATTTAACAGCGAGAGCTCTAGACATGCTAAAGAACCATTTAAGGGCAGTGTTTAGACAGTGGTTTCTGTTGTTTCTTTTCTTCTTATGCTTTTTATGAGTAATTTGGCTTGAGTGAGGTTAGGGAGTATTTACTGGTCCTCTCTAGTCAGTTGGGAGTTTGTACTGCCTTAGGGTAAATGTTCTTTCCTCTGGATATCAATTTATTGTAGGGGAATAACTTACATAATCACAACAGAAAAGCTGCAAGGTTGGGTATGCTTCCTACCAACAATATCAGGTCATCCAAAGCAATGATTCTATGTAGACATACAGATACAAGAGTATGACATCTATGCACTGCCAGTAATGTATGTTCTCTCAATGTACAGTAGCAGTAAAAGGAGGCGGTATCAGTTTGAAGCTCCACCATAGATTTAGGTTTTAAACGCATCATATTTTACATTCCACATTATTCAAGTCTGTACATCTAACTTATATAATACTTCGTATGAAGTTCAATGAAATATC